TGACCTCTGCCTGGGCAACCTGGTGGCGTGGAACCAAGTCTCGCTCGAGACATCCTCAAGACCTGGGCACGTGAAACCAAGCATTTCACTTGAGAGATCCTCTAAATTGTGGTCCCCAGGAAAGGACAATCTATAACACAAAACAAGCGTTTCGCTCGAGACATCCTCAACAAATTCTGAAAAACAAGCGTTTCGCTAGGGACATCCTGAAATTTTGATTCGCCGGCCCTCTTCCCACCCGTTATTTATCGCAAAAGGAATCCGCCGGCCCTCTTCCCGTCAGATCCGGGGGAAAACCCACTAAAAGAGAACCCTGGGCCTACGCCCTTTCTGGGAAAAACAGCAGCATCATCAGCAGCATCATCACCATCAACCCCATCACCATCTCCATCACTATCATCATCATCAGCATCTTCATCATCAGCATCATGATCCGCATCATCAGCATCCTCATCCTCATCCTCATCCTCATCAGCATCATCAATCAGTAGCAGCAGCATCATCACCAACAACAACAGCAACATCAGCATCAACAGCATCATCACTATCACCATCAGTTTCACCATCACCAGCACCACCACCATCATCATCATCATCATCATCATCATCATCATCATCATCATCATCATCATCACCATCATCCATCATCCTCATCCTCATCCTCATCACCAGCATCACATTCCTCTTCTTCTTCTTCTTCATCGGCATCGTCAGCATCATCAATCTCCCCATCCTCCCCATTGCCCTTCCCCTGCTGCTCCTCATGCTGTTCCTCGCCGATCCTGCTGCGCCCCCTCCCGTTCCTCCTCCTCCTGCTGAGGCTGCTGCTGAGGCTGCTGCTGCTGCTGCCGCTTCTCCTCCTTTTCCTCATCTTTTTCCTCCTCCTCCTCCTCCCCCTCCTCCTCCTCCTCCTCCTCCTCCTCCTCCTCCTCCTCCTCCTCCTCATCGCGCCCCATGTTCCCCTGACTCCCTCATAATCCTCACTCCTCCTCCTCCTCCTCCTCCTCCTCCTCCTCCTCCTCCTCCTCCCCACCACCACCACCGCCACCACCACCACCACCACCACCGCCATCTTCCTGAGCCTCATCCTCCTTCTCCTCCTTCTCCTCCTCCTCCCTCCTCCTGCTCCTCATCGTTTCACTCTTCTTCCTCCTTCGAAGAGGAGGGGGACGAATGCGAACATCAGGAGGAGTCAGACCAAAGGAGGAGGAGGAGGAGGAGGAGGAGTGAGGAAGAGGAGGAAGAGGAGGAAGAGGAGGGAGGATGATGGCGAGGAGGAGGAGGAAGGCGGACAAGATAGAGGAAGAGGAGGAGGAGGAGGAGGAGGCGGCCAATAATGGAGTGACTTGAGGAGGAGGATGATGAGGAGGAGGTGGGAGAATGAGGAGGAGGGGGAAGAGGAGGAAGAGGAGGAGGGCGGGATGACGAGTGAAGAGGAGGAAAAACATGATCGACCCACGAACCCGGAAAGGAATGTAGAACTGTAACACATGGCAGCGTTTTCAAAGACACCTGATTGGGTGACGGGCAAATGCAATACTGAAGGTATCGATCTTGATGTACCCTGCCGAGGGCTGTGCTGTGCTGCGCCGTGCTGAATTGCGATGTGCCATGGCGCGACTGTGCTCTATAGCCTCGTGGATCGAGTCCTCCTTTGCATCCGAGTCCTGACCGAACTGATCTGGATCTTAAGCTCGAGCTGCCTGAACACATAGTAGCTGCCCCAGAGCTAATGGACAGGGGAACATGCCAGGAGGACGCGCCGCGAAACGTCCCAAGGGATGCGCCAGGCGACGTGCCAGGGGACGTGCCATGGGGTCGCACCGCGGGACGTGCCAAGGGGACGCGCTACGGAACGTGCCAATGGATGTGCCACGGGATGTGCCAGGGGACGCGCGACGCGACGTGCCAGGGGGACTCGCCAAAGGACGCCCCACGGAACGTGCCAAGGAACGTGCCAAGTTGCAATGCTGAGTGCATCGACCTTGATGTACCGTGCCGAAATCAGTGCTGTGCTGCGCCGTGCTGAATTGCGATGTGCCATGGCGCGATTGTGCTCTATAGCCTCGTGGATCGAGTCCTCCTTTGCATCCGAGTCCTGACCGAACTGATCTGGATCTTAAGCTCGAGCTGCCTGAACACATAGTAGCTGCCCCAGAGCTAATGGACAGGGGAACATGCCAGGAGGACGCGACGCAGACGTCTCAAGGGACGCGCCAAGCGACGTGCCAAGGGACGTGCCATGGGGACGCACCGCGGGACCTGCCAAGGGGACGCGCTACGGAACGTGCTGGGGACAAGCGTTTCGCTCGAGACATCCTGTCAAAATCATTTGAATTCCTACGCGCGGGACGCTGCACGCGCGAGACATCCTCGGAATTCCTGCGAGCGGGACGTGAAAACAAGCATTTCGCCTGAGACATCCTTTGAATTCTGGCCCCCCACGAGGCCACCGCTCGAGACATCCTCCAATTTTGCAAAACCAGCGTTTCGCTCGAGACATCCTCAACAAATTATGAAAAACAAGCGTTTCGTTCGAGACATCCTGTCAAAATCCCAAGAAATCCAAATACCCGCGCGCGGGACGCGGCACGCGCGAGACATCCTTGGAATTCCTGCGCGAGGGGCGCTTTTCCGTGTCGCGGTCGGCTCTGCAAAACCAGCGTGTCGCTCGAGACATCCTCAACAAATTCTGAAACCAAGCGTTTCGCTCGAGACATCCCCAACTCTGCAAAACCAGCGTCTCGCTCGAGACATCCTCAACAAATTCTGAAAACCAAGCGTTTCGCTAGGGACATCCTCAATTTTTAATTCGCCGGCCCTACGCGACCTCGTTATTTATCGCAAAAGAAATTCGCCGGCCCTACAGCCGTCAAAACTGGAGGGGAACCAACTAAAAGAGAACCCTGGGCTCAGCCCCTTTCCGGGAAAAAAATAGAACCTGTGAAAGCCCAATCGTAAAACAATGAGTTGTGCCTCTTGGGGCCACCTTGGGAGATCTCTTGGAACCTCGTCGGCCCTCTTGGGAGCTTCTTGGGGGCCTCTTGGATCCGATTGGGGGCCTCTTGGGACTTCCCGAGAACCTCTCGGGGTAGAAAGCTCGGACTCTCGGTTCGTGTTTCCCTTCTTGGGCCTCTCTTGGGGCCGTCTTTGGCGCCTCAGGCACCGCCTTGGGGCCCTCGTGGGCCGCCTAGGGCCCTCTTGGAAACCTCTTCGGATATCTTGGAGCTGTCTTTTTTTCAACATGCGACTACTGAATTATGCATGTCAGAAGAATCAGAAGAAACCGCGATGACACTCAACTCGGACCACCGCAGGTCAGAAAGGCTATGTTGAACCTGCGGGTATCGACACGATACATTGCACTTCTACGGATGATATATGGGTTCTCCTCGCTCTGGCCTTGCAACCGTGCACGGAGTTGCTTGGCTGGCTGTTGCGATAGCTCGCTGGAGGTAATAAGAACGAGGCAGCAGACAACGAGGGATGCAAGACCCGCTCCACTTCGGCGCCCTGCCTTTCTGCTGCGCCGTTGCGCCGCTGTCTGGCACAGTGAAGAGGACGAGCAACAGATCATGACACCTAGCCTGCTGGTCGCTCAAGAACGGGGTCCGATGGCCTCCCATTCGACCCGACGCTCAAGCGCAGCCGCGCGAAGAAGCAGAGCAGGGTAATAGGATCGCGCCAGCATGAAGACATGCGAAATGCGCCAATGGCCAAGTGGGCCAGGCGCTAGAGGCTGCAGCCTCAAACTTATCACGAGATGCACATGCGGAGTGCCACTGCATTTTCCGTACAACTGTCGTTGCCGTTGTCCCGATGGCATGGTTGCCACTCTGGAAGACCTAGCGATGACGCTAAATACAGAAGTATGCCGCGGATCCCTTGGAGCCAATTAGCTCTAGGAGAGTACCAAGTGTAAGCAGGCAGCAACGCGACAACGCTGCTCGGGCGCGAGTTCTTGATGCAAGACATGGTTGAAACTAGCTGCGCACGTCAGCGGGTCAAGACCCTCACGTGAGAGCAGCACCTGCTGGAGATGCACGCAAAAACGCGGGGCCAGAGATCCACCGCGTGCGGAGGTAGTTGGACATATTTTGCACATACCGCAGCAATTGCCCCGATGGCACGGCGACCACTCTGACAAATGGCGCCGAAGCGTTACGCACCGACCCCTGCGAGTGCACGACACATGCATCCTCATGTCCTCAATCATCATCCTGGTGGTCCAGTGGGGGAGATCAGTTCAACGACTCGGCTCACGTTGGCAGCATACTGGGGAGGCGTGTGACGTCGTGGGCAGAGGCATCCACCTACGTCATTAAACTGTGAAGGCGCGAAACACCGTGGGCAGAGGCATCCGCAACCTTGGACCAAAAAACTGCGCCGTGGGCAGAGGCATCTGGCCAGGCCCTTGCAGGCACGCGGTCCGGACAGAGCGCTGGACGGGAGGCCCCGACAGAGCGACGAGCGGGGCGCTCCGAGCGCGCCCCCCCGGCGAGGCAGAGCACCCCGCCGGGGGCCCACGCGAGGACGAGCGCTGCAGGGCGAGGGATAGCCCGACGGGCGGGGCCTGGGCCGGGTGCGGCCGGGTCAAGCCGGACTGGGCAGGACTGAGCCAGTCAAGACTCGGGTGTGGCCAGAAGTATTGCCAAGCAAATGTCGAAATGGTAGAATGTCGAAATGGTAGAATGTCCAAAACGCTGCTCTCCTTTTATTCGGCGTTTCGACGTTGGGCGGAACCCTGCCCCTGTCTGGGTTTGGCTTCTGGGAGACTGGGCGGGGCTCAGAAATTGAGGGACGTCTGCGGCCAGGTGAAGCACAGAAGCGAGTGTCCGACAACCCAGCGCTAGACCCTCTCAGGGGAAGGGTTTGCAAGTGGTCGCAGACCTGCAGACGGGCGCGCGTGCCTCAAGCTGCACCGCCGCTCGCTGCTTGCATGGCAGACGGCACGCGCGGCTTGCATGGCAGGCCATGCCGTAGCCCGTAGCGGCGCGGCGTCAGACGAGCGAGCCTAAACTCAGCTGGCTCATCTGATTCCGCAACGCGCGGGGTGCAGGGCTCTCGCTGCCATCGCGGCTCGTGTTTGTCAAGGATGCGGCGGCGCTGCTCTGCGCCGCGCTGCCGCTTTTCCTGAGAACCTCGCCCAGCTGCTGGCGCACGACCGCGGCAGAGAAATTCCTGAAGTCGGTGTGAGCTCCCGCAGGAGTGTCCGCACCAGAGCCACGTGGACTCGGAGCAGCCCCCCACGTATCGCACGCGTCCCTCCTGGTCAGGACGTCGGAAATGTTGACCAAATTGTGCATGATGAACTCACACTGGTACTGCAGCTTCATGATGTCCAAGGTCCTGGCTTCGCCCTTCAGCCGGAAACAGCCGAGCAAGAACTCCTCCAAATTGATGAAGCCCTTCCTGTCGCGGTCAAGCAGCAGGAAGAGCGTGCGCACGTCTGTCACCTCCAGCTCCAGCGCGTGAAAACTGCTTACCAGGTGGCTGTTCTCGTCGAGCAGAGCCTCGTGCATGCCTTCGAGGGTCAGAGTGCCGTGGCCCCCCGGGTCCATGTCGTTGAAGAGATGGTACAACCTCTTGAGGCTGCTGTGCCGCTTCTCAGTGGCGGCCTGCTCCCGCGATGCCTTGTCGTTGAGCGCCCAGTGGTTGGCGATCTCTACGAAAATCCGCCGACCCCTTGTGGGTCTCTAGGCGTGTGAGATAGTTCCCCCCCCTAACCCCCCCCCTGGGACCCCAAACCGGAGATTCGAACCCCCCCCCCCGGGCCCACCACGAGCGCATCACGGGGCTCTTTTGGGCCCAAAAGGGGATCAAGACGGGCCAAGAAGGCCCCAAGACTCCTCCAAGACGGCTCACGAGAGCTCCGAGGCGCCAAACGAGCGCTCCCAGACGCCCAAGATGCCCCCAAGACGAGCCTAGAGGCCTCCAAGACGGCCCAAGAGGCCTCCAAGAGCAGTCCTGAGAAGGGCCGAAGCGCCGAAAATCGTCAAATTCCTATGGGAAAACGTACATTTTGATCATATACTACCTGTCGGCCTTCACGGCGTTGAAGACGGTCCCAGAGCACCCCAAGACCGCCCCGAGAGGCCCCCAAGAGGCGCCCAAGTCGGCCCAAGAGGGCGCCAAGACGGCCCAAGAGGCCCCCAAGACAGCCCAAGAGGGCCCCAAGACAGCCCCAAAAGGTGCCCAAGAGGGGGAGCCCGAACCGACAATTCGAGCCTTCCGCCCCAAGACGGCCCCAGAAGGCCCCAAGAGGCCCCAAGAGGCCCCCAAGACGCCCACAAGAGGCCCCAAGAGGCCCCCAAGAGGCTACAAAACGGCCTCAAAACGGCCCCCAAGAGGCTTCGAAACTGCCTCCAAGAGTCCCGCGAGAAGCCCCCCAAGAGATCCCAGGGCCTCGAGATGACCCCAAGCGGATTCCACATGGCCCCAAGAGAGGTCATTATGGACCCCTACACGACTCCCCAGCCCGATTCAAGCGAGCCGGCAAGACCGCCAAGATGAGGGGTCGGCGGATGTGGCGTAAGCCTATAGAATCCCTGTGACAACGTTGGCCGCACCGAAGATAGCAAACAGGACGAAGAACAAGAAGACGAATCGGAAGTGCACAGGCAGTGGTGACAGTGTTTCGAACAACACACCCCAGTTGATACCTCCCGACATCGCCTGAAACATGGAAAGTGCAGAGTCTTCAAGAGTGCCGAAATAGTATCGCAATGATGCGCTCGACTCGTCCTCCCATGAATCGTTCGTCTTGAGACTATCGGTCACCCCCTGAGTCAGGATAATCCCAAACGCATAGAACATGCCCAAGAGGATAATGGTAGCCCAGAGCAACGGCCGCAACGAATACATTATAGAACGGACCATGATGCGCAATTGCGAGAATACTTTCAACTGCCTGACAGAACGTAAGAACCGGATGACCCGGAGAACACGCAAAGATGCGTAGCCCCGACACATGCGACCACGACGACGGCTCTGTCGTCTGCTCGGATAAGCTCACGCAGAAATCCAGGAGCATGGACGCCACGACAAAGATGTCAAAGTAGTCCCAGGAGGCTCCGCTACCCATCAAGAAGTGCCAGCCCAGGGCATAGATCTTCACTGCCAACTCGAATGTGAACGCGAGGCAGAACAATGCCTCGATCTCGAAGGTATTGTGCAGCTGCTGTCGGGTATATGCTTCGTGTTCCACCTGGTAGCCCAAGAAAATAGAGTTGGCTATGATAAGCAACATCACGGACACCTCGTAGCGGGCGCTGCTCACCAAGGCTCTCGCCCTCCGTCGAGCCAGGGAGGGCCTCCAGTCGAACCGGGATAACCACTCCCGGACGGGCCACGGCAGGTCGTCAAGCGACGCTCTCCTCGAGGTCGTCCTGCTCGGAGACGTCGACCGCCAGAACGACTTCAGGTCCCAAGAGCGGATCGAATCATGCGCGATCATGTCCATGGCGCTGGCCGCCCGCGAATCCGAGCTCTCTGGCTCCATCGACGCGTTGCTGCACCCGAACACGGACCACGTGGCGGACATCATGCTCGAGAACGAGCCCTGCCGGCGATGCAGCCTCTCTGGCCTCCTGGAGAACGGGGAGCGCCCTGCCATGGGCGATGCCCCGGGCGTCTTCGCCGGGCGCCGGCAGGGCTCCTGGCCACGCCTTGCCTGGGGGCTGCCCTCACAGCTGTCGCCGGAGTCTGGGCCGTCCTCCACCGGCGGGGTCAGCGTCGAGGACCACGTTGCCAGGTCGCGGGCGCGCCTCTCCGCGTGCGGCACGGCGTCCGGCAACGAGGCGCGGTCCTGCGGCGCAACCTCCGGCGCGCAGTCGCTGCGGCCCGCCCTCTGGGGGAAGCAGCCCGCGGGCAGCGTCAAGTGCGGCTCCTCCTTCCGCCCCCCCGCCGGGGGCTGCGGCGGCTCCTCAGCGCGCTCGGCCGCAAGGCCGCGCGGCTTCTCGGGGCTCGCGGACAGGCCAGGCTTCTGCATGGGGCCCGTTGCGCCGCAGGTGCGCACCTCCGCGAGCGCCTCCTGCGCGCGGCGATGCCCGGCTTCCAGCTGGCGGCAGAGGTCCGCGAGCAGCTCCGCGAGCCGCTCGGCGCCGCCGTCCATGGCTCCGGCCCCCCGCCCCCCCGGAGCGAGGCGGCCGTCGCGCGAAGGCCTCCGAAAAGATGTCCGATCCGAGGGGTCGGCCGTTCCGGCTCGGGGGGGCTCGGGGCGGCGCCGCGATCGGAGGGCACCGGCCTTGAGCCAAAATGGAGGCTTCTTCCTCCTCGTCGCCCCCCTCCCCCTCCCACTCCAGCTCTCTCTCCTCCTGATCTTCCTCCTCCTCCTCCTCCTGCAGCGTGTTCCGGAAGGCTCCCGCCGGAACATGCTGTGCACAAGTGCTGTCACGGCTCCCGCCACCGTGCCCTGGGTGGTGGGTCAGAGGCCTCATGGGTATTGGTTTGGATCTCGTGGTTGGACTGTCGGGGACGTCGTGAAAGCAGTTCCGCAGCTTCTCGGTAGCCGTTTTGGGACCGTTGTGGGGCCTCTTCGGGGCTGTTTTGTGGCCTCTTTAGGCCTTGTTTGGGCTTCCTAGGTGCCTCTTGGGGGCCTCCTGGGGCCTCTCGGGGGCTCCTTGGGGCCTCCTGGGGCGCTCTTCAAGCGGGAGGGTCGAATTTTTGCAGTCGTGGTCCCCCTCTTGGGCGCATCTTGGGGCCGTCTTTTTCCCAACCCTCCTGTGTTGGGTACTCGTTTTGAATAGAGCACTGCGGTCTCCACCTTCCTTCCTTCCTTCCTTCCTTCCTTCCTTCCTTCCTTCCTTCCTTCCCGCCTCCTCCCGCCTGCGGTCGCCATCCCTGGGTGGCTGCGATCTGTGAAACTGTCGCCACTTTCGAGGGCTGCTGGGGGGCCCAGCGGAGTGACGTCCTACGGGGATTCAGATTAGACCTCGCCATCCCTGGGGGGCTGCGATCTGTGAAACTGTCGCCACTTTCGAGGCCGCTGGGGGGCCCAGCGGAGTGACGTCCTACGGGGATTCAGATTAGACCTCGCCATCCCTGGGGGGCTGCGATCTGTGAAACTGTCGCCACTTTCGAGGCCTGCTGGGGGGCCCAGCGGAGTGACGTCCTACGGGGATTCAGATTAGACCTCGCCATCCCTGGGGGGCTGCGATCTGTGAAACTGTCGCCACTTTCGAGGCCTGCTGGGGGGCCCAGCGGAGTGACGTCCTACGGGGATTCAGATTAGACCTCGCCATCCCTGGGGGGCTGCGATCTGTGAAACTGTCGCCACTTTCGAGGCCTGCTGGGGGGCCCAGCGGAGTGACGACGGGGATTCAGATTAGACCTCGCCATCCCTGGGGGGCTGCGATCTGTGAAACTGTCGCCACTTTCGAGCCTGCTGGGGGGCCCAGCGGAGTGACGTCCTACGGGGATTCAGATTAGACCTCGCCATCCCTGGGGGGCTGCGATCTGTGAAACTGTCGCCACTTTCGAGGGCTGCTGGGGGGGCCAGCGGAGTGACGCCCTACGGGGACTCAGATTAGACCTCGCCATCCTTGGGGGGCTGCGATCTGTGAAGCTGTCGCCACTTTCGAGGGCTGCTGGGGGCCCCAGCGGAGTGACGCTCTACGGGGATTCAGATTAGACCTCGCCATCCCTGGGGGGCTGCGATCTGTGAAACTGTCGCCACTTTCGAGGGCTGCTGGGGGGCCCAGCGGAGTGACGCCCTACGGGGATTCAGATTAGACCTCGCAGGCGCTGGGGGGCTACGATCTGTGAAACTGTCGCCACTTTCGAGGGCTTCTGGGGGGCCCAGCACAGTGGGCACCCACGGCGGATTCAAATGGGACCTCGCCATCCCTGGGGGGCTGCGATCTGTGAAACTGTCGCCACTTTCGAGGCCTGCTGGGGGGCCCAGCACAGTGGGCACCCACGGCGGATTCAAATGGGACCTCGCCATCCCTGGGGGGCTGCGATCTGTGAAACTGTCGCCACTTTCGAGGGCTGCTGGGGGGCCCAGCACAGTGGGTACTCACGGCGGATTCAAATAGGACCTCGCCATCCCTGGGGGGCTGCGATCTGTGAAACTGTCGCCACTTTCGAGGGCTCTGGGGGGCCCAGCACAGTGGGTACTCACGGCGGATTCAAATGGGACCTCGCCATCCCTGGGGGGCTGCGATCTGTGAAACTGTCGCCACTTTCGAGGCCTGCTGGGGGGCCCAGCACAGTGGGTACCACGGCGGATTCAAATGGGACCTCGCCATCCCTGGGGGGCTGCGATCTGTGAAACTGTCGCCACTTTCGAGGGCTGCTGGGGGGCCCAGCACAGTGGGTACCCATGGCGGATTCAAATGGGACCTCGCCATCCCTGGGGAGCTGCGATCTGTGAAACTGTCGCCACTTTCGAGGGCTGCTGGGGGGCCCAGCACAGTGGGTACTCACGGTTGATTCAAATTAGACCTCACCATCCCTGGGGGGCTGCGATCTGTGAAACTGCAGCCACTTTCGAGGCTTGCTGGGGGGGCCAGCACAGTGGGTACTCACGGCGGATTCAAAGGCTGCTGGGGGCTGCGATCTGTGAAACTGTCGCCACTTTCGAGGGCTGCTGAGGGCCCAGCACAGTGGGTACTCACCGCAGATTCAAATGGTACCTCGCCATCCCTGGGGGGCATGATCGACCCACGAACCTGGAAAGGAATATAGAAATGTAACGCATGGCAACGTTTTCAAAGACACCTGATTGGGTGACGGGCAAGTGCAATGCTGATTGTATCGATCTTGATGTACCGTGCCGAGGGCTGTGCCGTGCTGCACCGTGCTGAATTGCGATGTGCCATGCCGCGGTTGTGCTCTATAGCGTCGTGGATCGAGTCCTCCTTTGCATCCGAGTCCTGACCGAACTGATCTGGATCTTAAGCTCGAGCTGCCTGAACACATAATATCTGCCGCAGAGCTAATTGACAGGGGGACATGCCAGGAGGACGCGCCGCGAAACGTCCCAAGGGACGCGCCAGGCGACGTGCCATGGGGACGTGCCATGGGGTCGCACCGTAGGACGTGCCAAGGGGACGCGCTACGGAACGCGCCAATGGATGTGCCACGGAATGTGCCAGGGGACGCGCCACGCGACGTGCCAGGGGGACTCGCCAAGGGACGCCCCACGGAACGTGCCAAGGAACGTGCCAGGTTGCAATGCTGATTGTATCGATCTTGATGTACCGTGCCGAAGTCTGTGCTGTGCTGCACCGTGCTGAATTGCGATGTGCCATGCCGCGGTTGTGCTCTATAGCGTCGTGGATCGAGTCCTCCTTTGCATCCGAGTCCTGACCGAACTGATCTGGATCTTAAGCTCGAGCTGCCTGAACACATAGTATCTGCCGCAGAGCTAATTGACAGGGGGACATGCCAGGAGGACGCGCCGCGGAACGTCTCAAGGGACGCGCCAGGCGACATGCCAGGGGACGTGCCATGGGGACGCACCGCGGGACGTGCCAAGGGGACGCGCTACGGAACGTGCTGCGCGTTTCGCTCGAGACATCCTGTCAAAATCCTCAATCTAGACATCCGCCTGAGCGACCTGGACACGTGAAAACCAACGTTTCGCTCAACACATCCTCAACACATTCTGATGCTAGACATCCGCCTGGGCGAACTGGACACGTGAAAACAAGACGTCCGCCTGGGTAACCTGGGCACGTGGAAACAAGAGTTTCGCTCGAGACAATTTCAACCCCTCCTCATTCTAGACATCCGCCTTGGCGACCT